TTAAAAGCAGTTCTTGCTATTCCAACACTTCAAAGTCTGCCTATCTGTAAGATCATGTCTTATCTCTCACTAATGGGCACAATGCTGGCACAGCATTCTGTACTTTAACAGCTTTTAAAATGCAACACTAACCTTTAAACAAACCTCAAGCCAAACCCATTGTCATCAAGTTATATCTGATTCAAAATAACTCTAAAGGACAGAGAATTGCCTCACACAGCTTCAAAGGCTTTAACTGTATGGAAATAAACTGACATAACGCTTCCACAGGCATCAGTAGAACTGTCAACCTTCTCACCAGCAGTTAAGCTCTTAAGCACTGTGCCACTAGGGCTCCTTTTAGCTCCCAATAGTCACTTAAAATGAGATTCATTTCAAATCCCAATGGCTTTTGTATGTGCTCTGCTTATACAATTTACACATCATTGTTGCTGTGCACTGCAGAGTCAGAACCAACTCATAGCTGACCATTCAGTGGGTTTTCAGAGGTAGGCAATCGCACAAGAATGCCCATCTTTCTCTTGAGGAGCAACAGGTAGATTTGAAGTGTACGCTTTTGAGACTGCAGGGCAGCTTCTTATTATGAACTCTACCAGAGCTCCTTACATATTAAATATGAAAGTTACTCGCTTGGAAAACAAAAAAAAGATATGTAGGCTTAGGAGCCTGAGTGTTTATGTTTAAAGAATCATATATGAAAACCCCTCCATTTATTCAAACATACTGTGGACTACATATAAACCTAATCAAGTCTACAAAAAAAAAATCATATGGAATTTTAAGTAAAAAATGATTAAACTAAGCTGTAGGGGGGGAAATGTTGAGATCTGAAAAATTACTTTCATAATTTAAGAAAGCCATGGAGAATGAACTAAAACCACCATCCTCTCAGTTCTGCAACATCAGCAACTTTCTCATTCCCTCTGAGGCCCAACAGCCTATGACAAACAAGAAAAAAATTCGGTGCTGTTTACATAATCACATAGGGGCACGTACAAGGCCCTTAGGTATCAGCGGATCTTCCAACCAAACTCAATTTTTCAAAGTCATAACTATTTGGAGAAATATTGTATAAGACTACTATTACAAAAAGCCAAAGACACCACAACAAGATGAAGGTAAACAACCCAATTGAAAAATGGGAACGGGATATGAACAGACACTTCACCAATGAAGACATTCAGATGGCCAACAAGCACATGAAGAAATGTTCAAAATAACCTCTTAAGAGAGATGCAAATAAAAACAATTATGAGATATCATCTCACCACAGTAAGAATAGCAAAATTTAACAGAATAGCAAGCAACAAATGCTGGGAAGGTTGTGGAGAAACTGGAGCCCTAGTTCTGTCAGTAAAAGTGTAAAATGGTACAACCACTATGAAAGGGAATATGGCGCTTTCTCAAAAAGTTGCAAATAGAAATACCATTCAATCTAGCAATTCCACTACTGGGAATATACCCTAAAGAAACTAGAACTGCCACCCAAACAGATATATGCACACCACAGTTTATTGCCGCTTTGTTCACAACAGCAAAGAGTTGGAAACAACCCAAGTGCCCATCAACAATCTTCTTGTGCTGTATGTATCTTTACTATTTAGAACTGCAAGTGCAACTGTGTCAAAATAATCAGTGTCTTCCCTTCATTCCAGATGCAGGAGACCTCAGACTCTGCAAAGTACAGCTATAACCTTTCTCAACTGAGGGGTATCTGAATGCAGAAAAGCAACATTCCTTCCACATTCCCTTGAGACTCTGGTAATCAGGAGCCAAGCTTGGTCAGAACCAAACTCAACAATGCCCCTTCCTGAGAGGGTGTCCGCCCAGCTCAGCTCACAGTCAGAGCTAGACCAGCCTGCCAAGCATCCTATCACCTTCTGGGACGGTTTCCCCATTTTCGTGCTGCAGGCCCATTCATCTCTCTCGGAATGCTGCCATGAGCATTCTCCAGCACTGAGTTCCCAACATGCCTTGCACAGCAGGTCTAAAGATCACTGCTGCCTATGTAGGTATGCCTGTCTCAGATGTCCACACGATGACAGGCTGGAATGCCATGACTGCTAAATATACAGAAATCCACACCAAAATCCAGCAGGCTCACTTGGCAAGGACTGGTCCACAGCATTTGCCTTAACTGTTAAAGCAACCCTTCCCTCAAGCCCCTCTCGACTTTCCCATAGGTGTTGGGCAAAAGGTTATCACCAGCACCTCTCTCCCCTTTCTCAGAGCATAAACAGATATTATAAACAACAATCCACACAAAAAAAAAAAAACCAAAACAAAAAAAGAAAAAACAAAAATCACACAACCAAACACCCAAAACCAAAAACCCTGCATCACAGGCTGTTAAAATGAAATTTTTATTTCAATTTCCAGTTTAAGTTTCCCTGGGCAAAAGACAGCTTTTTTTTTAAAGCCATTTCAATATTCACTGCTGTCAAGTTGGAACCAGCTCACAGCTGCCCTCCATTGGGTTTGAGGCTGTAAAACACACAGGAAATCATCACCTATTTTTGACACTAAGTATGACTTTTCGGCTAACAGTGCACCTTGCTACCGACTAGGTCGGTAGAGCTCCCTAGTTGTTTTAACAACAGTTTACTTGGTTGGTCTCCAAAACATTAATTTAAAATATGTGCCAAATGTACTTGCTTCTGCTTATACAGTCCCCAATACTCAAGAAATTGTTTCCTAAATGTCTTTAGGAATGTGTAGGTAAATCAGATCAGATGCATACAGTTCTTATTTAGCTTTATTTTAGTGCAAGAAGAAAAAAAGCTTGAAGCCTTTTCAATGATTTCAAAGCTGTAGGTACAACAAGTGATAGTTTGCAGTGAGTTTATCTATAAATTAGATCTAGATACGACCTGTATCATCATTATTTAAAATCCTGAGCATCTCAATTTCAGTGAAAGTCAGCTAGAAAATCTTAAATCTACTTTGTCAATAAACTGAAGCTGCTTCTAACACTTGCTATGACTGATAATACTTTATCTCATGTGCTTTTCTGTAAAGGAGCTCTTGTTGACTCTAAGTAACAAAGTATACTTTTAGGCTGGATAAAAGCCTAAAAAGAATAAAACAGGCAGGTGAAGCCAGATAATGTTTTTAATTCCCTACACATGGGGAGAAATTCACACCATTTGGAAAAGAGGACAAGATAAAGTAATCTACATTGACATGTAGGTCAATGACTTGTATCTGAAGAAACTCATGATACTAAACCTTTAAATTTACAAACTTAGTACCAGGTCTCTGGCACAACCAATTGCTCTAGTCTCATTTTTCATTTAGCATCTAAATGAAAGAAAGAATGTAGAAAATTAAGATAACAGTGGCTAAATAGGAAGCCAGTTTGATTTGCAGAATGTGAATCTATTTTTCCCTAGGAAACGACTATGCTCTTAAACTCCTTTTTGGGAGGTACAATTTATTTTTTCAATTCTGTTAAACTAAGATCAATTTAGATACTTTTGAAAACACCACTCCACTGTTTCATAAGCTTTTAAAAAAGAATTACATATTACTATATGAAGTAACTTAAATTTGCCCCTAAATCCCCAGACAAATCAAAATCTTTTGGAGCACAGAAATCCCTGTCAGAATCAAAATTAAGAACATGGACAAAAAGACAAAAATCCAAACTAGCTCTCCACTTGAGCTGTGAAAATGATTTATCTAGCAAAGAGGTCAGTACCTAGAACAGGTATGTTGAGTCCCCCTCTATCTCTGCAAGGCTGCAGGGAACTGCACAGCAAATCACTCCTGCCCTTAGCCCTCCAACCACACACACCCTCCCATCAATGCCTAACCAGATACACACAGCCCTGGTTTAAATTAACTTTGAGTTTATTGTTTGGCCTGGGTTGGGAGTGGGGGATGGGAGGCAAACTGAAGTAACCCTAAGCCTACCTAACCAAACTGGAGAAGGCACAGGCCAACAGCAGTGCTACTTGCAAGAACCAGGATCTTTGCATTTCCAATTAGCATTATAGTGCTGAGATGGTCTGCTGTTCTGGAGAAAAGAGCCATTTCTCCAAAATATTGTCAAAGGTGAATAAACAAAGTCTTCAAACCTTCCGTAAAGGCACACTACACATGCTCTTGGAGAAATCATTCTACTTTCATCAGTGTTCAGGATTTCTTAGTGGTGATCTGAAAACAAAAATCTATTTCTGTAAAAAAGGAGCAGGAGACAAAGGCGGTTGATGCAGAAACCTGTATGTAGCTGAAAAGCATTTCTACAATGGAAAAGCCAGACATTAACTCATGTGTTCCAAGACCAGAGAGGAGATCAGTTCCTAGTTGTGTCTGTAATCAAATTTGTAAGTAAATCTGAACAGGTGTATTTGGTTCTTATTTAGCCTCACCTTAGTATAAGACCTAAGCTTTTCCTGTGATTTAAAAACTGCATATGGAGCAAGCAAAAAAAAAAAAACAAAGGTGATGAATTTGTTTACAGTAAAAAGCTGGTTCAAATTGAAGGCAAATTTTATATATAGCATTATAGAGCAAGTCTGAGTTGCCCCAAAGTGGGACCTTGTATACAGAAAGGGAAATGCACCAACAGCCTTGCAAACTTACCTTTCAGTGACCAACTCTATCACAAAAGGGTGGGCTTGCCACACGCCCATGCATATCTGCAGCTGCTTCTGCATACCTAAGCACTGCTTGCTAAATCTCAGCAAACTTCCCAAACCCTCTCCTATTGCAGCAACTTGACCTGCTCTCTGCCCAAGAGCAGCGACTGCTGTAATATCCAGTAACAAGCACTTAGTTGCTGGGTCCCAGACAACCCCTCTAGTCCTTCACTTCAAGACACACACAGCTGCCATACACCACAATGCAAGGGGGGGGGGGACACGACGACACGGGACGCAAAGGCCAAGCCATACAGTTCGATAAACACAGAAGGAAAAGAGACTGCTTTCAATTATGTAGCAAAGGAGTCTTTCCTCCCCATAATGAATAGGTGAGAACGGAATCGATAAACTCACCTCTGCCTTTTTGGGACTGAATGTTCAACTTCTATGAGTTTCCCGTGGAGTTCCACTTTACCTACGGACACACAAGAGTGGGAAAAGTTGGCTGGGTTCAGCTTTCCGGGCCCAAAAGACCCTCCTAGCCTAAGTACTGACATCAGTGGTCTCCTGAATTCGAAAGACGACCCTCTCCAAATCCCGGACGTGGCTCAAGGCAAGAGCTGAAAACTGACCTCTTGGACTCGTTTCTGTTTAGTTAGAGCGGTGGTGAGGAATACGATCCATCGACGGGCCCACTCCTTTGGTTACATTCCACCCCTTCCCCACAGTCCTGCTCTGAGCACTGCAGGGTAGGGGGTGAAGGGTCACCTAACCCCACAACACCCGCAAAATGGACGCAGCCTTCCTACCTCCCAGGACACTCCCATAGGACAAATGGGGAGACGGGGGCTCCCCAGCCCTTCACCAAGGGTGCGTTTCCAAGGCCCCCCGGAAAGATTTTGCAATGGACTCGAAAAGGACCTGGAATCGAGGGAAAACCTCAAAGCGGCGGGGAAGGAGAAAGCTAAGCCCCAGAGGTGCATCTGCGCCTGGACTGAACCCCGCGCGAAGGTCGGCGCAGCGCCCGCCAGCGGACGGAGTTGATAAAGGGGGCGAGGGAAGGCGCTGCGCTCGCAGGGGCACCCGCGCAGGCTCCCCGCGCGGCCCTCCGGAGGCCGCAGCCCCGCGCCGGGTCCCGGAAGCGGCCGGCCGCCCCCGCCCACCTGCCCCTCTCGCTCGTCCCCCCGAGCGCGGCGGAAAATGGAGGCCAAAACGCACCCGCCCCCTGCCCTCAGGGTCGCGAGGACGCGCGGGGCCGGCCGTACCAGGCACTGGCCCACGGCCTCACTCGACAGAGTGGTCCAAGCCCCTCTTCTTCGGTCCCTAGCCGGGGTCTAGAGGCCGGCGGCGAACCCAGCGCCGTAAATACCAGAGAAAAGAAAGCGAAGCAGACATTTGCTCTCGTCTCCCCCACCCCACCCCCCAGCCCGGGGTGAGGAAGCCGGGAGAGCGCCGCTGGGCCCAGGCTGGGCGCGGTGGCAGCTGACCCGGGTCCGCTGGGAGCGGCGGCCAGGGCCGCCCGCGCACGGGCTCCACGGCCGCCCCTGCGCCCCTCCCAGCCCCGACCCGGGGTTCCTGACAGCTCGTCCACCTTCGGCCGGCAGACCCGGTGGGGGGGAAGGGAGAGCGCGGCTGGAGCCAAATCTGCGCGCACCCCGACCCCACGACCCCCGGCCGCTGCCCGCCTGGCGGGGGCCCCGGTGGACGCCCACGGCAGCCGCGAGCCCGGCTGGTGGCGCGGGGCTGGGACGGGCGCCCGAGCGGGGCCAGGCCGGGGCCCACCTGAAAGTGTCTCGATGGCCTTGAGGGCCCAGCTGTCGTCCGGACAGTCCACGAACGCGTAGCCTGTCTTCACCAGGAAGGGTCCCGACACCGGGATCTTGGCGTCCTTGAAGATACTTTCTAGGTCCGAAGGAACGGCGTTCTCGCTCAGGCTTCCGATATACAGTTTGTTCATTGTGAAGATCGGTGGTTTAAAAAAACTAATAAGAGAAAAACGAAAAAAATTAAAACCACCCACAATGATGGATGGATCCGGCGGTTTTGTTCCCCTCGTCTTTTCGCCTTTAAAATGCACAGACACAGTAAAAAAACAAGGGCGAGAGCGGGGAGCGAAAAATAAGATCTGAGGGTTCTTGCTTCTCCTTTTCTAGGTATAAAAAAAGAAAAATGAAAAAGAAAAAGCCTTGCTACAACCCAAACGCATCAGCGAGTCGTCCTAACTCTGAGAAGGAGGCGGGATTAAGCAAGAGAAAGGAGGAGGAGAAAGGGGGGGGAAACTACTTTTTGTCTCTTCCTCCCCAGCCCCTTTGGCATCGGCCAGCGGACTGTGAAAATATCACACAACGTGAGGGCAGGCGCCGCCTCCCCATAAAAAACCCCGAAGGGTGACTGGCAGGAGGGAGGGAGAGGGGAAGGAGGGAGGAAGGCGCAGGAGGCGGAAAAAATCCGCTCCGAGTGTCCGGCTTTTTGAATGAGCCACGTGTTCAAACTACAAATCAACGTCTCACGTGAGGAATCCCAGCGCCTCAATTAGAGTGGGTTTCGGGGGGCGGTGGGAGGAGAGCGAGCCGGAGGAGGAAGAGGGGGAGGGGAGGTTGGGTGAGGGACTGAGGAGGGGGAGGAGGAAATATGCTCAAGGAGGCGCAGCCGGGGCGCCGAGCGGCGCGGGGGGAACTGATTGTCACAGCAGAGTTTGGAAAGGGTTATCTGCTCGGGGCGGGGGTTGCAATAGTCATTTTTCTTTCTTTTTTTAAATGAGTATAGGGGTAGGAGTGCTAACTAGACCTTTTCTCAACTCTATCTACTGGAGTTTATTTATAATTGTTCGATTTTCCCCCCTCTTTTTAAGAATAGGTGATTAATAAAACCCAAGAGTCACAACCCTGAACTAGCCTTGTGGCTTTGATGACATGCTAAGTGGAACCTCGGCCAAGCCGCGAGCACGTTTGCAGGGCTGCCAGGGGCGGAAATGCAACGAGGGGGTGGGGTGGGCCAAGGCTGGGGAGACGCACGGGGCGCCCCACCCTCTCCACCACCCCGGGCCCGGGGAAGCGGGGGCGCGGGTCCACGGGCTCCCGGGGCCGGCGGTGGGGGAGGGGAGGCCGCGACGTCCTGGGCGGGTGTCTGGGCGACACCTCCTCCGCCTGCGCCCGCGGTGGCTCCGGGCTGCGCGCTTGCCATTGGTTGCGCGCTTTAGAAAAGGCTCGCGGATAAATGAGTCCGGGGGCGGGCGCGGCCGGTGGGGGAGGGGGAGGCGGGCGGAGGCTGCTGGCGTGGGGAAGGGGCCTTTGGGGGCTTCGGCGGCTGGGGGAGAGAAATCATAGTGGGGCAAGTCGGCACTTAAAGGGGAAACGATCTCTTCCTGTAGTTTTCTAGAGGCGGATAAGTAGGTGGGGTGCTACTTTTATTTAAATAATTTCAGTTGTCGAACTTAAGGCTCTTAAAACAGGAAGACCGCTCTGTGTTGCCCCTATGGGGTAATCACACTTTTGCAAAACTGAGTCTCTTTCAGCCTCTTTTTCTTACCAGCGTTTGGTTATGAGAGCCATTCATAATTTTCCCTGTGAGGAGCACAATGGTGGGTCTTTGGGGGAGGGTCTGGACACCGCGGAGCCTTCCAGGCCGAAGAAACGAGGACTGGAGACCAGGAATACGGAAACGAAGGCAGTCTTGGGATGTCTGTGGAAATCTCCAAGTGTGGTTTAGTAATTGTGGCTTCCACTCAAAGGCTCCGTTTATACGGATGCTTGTGGTATATTTTTAACAGGTATTCCATGAAAGAGACAAGAATGTTAATATTTTTAAAGTAAATTCTCTAACATGGATATGTAAACAAAAATGTTTAATGGTTTAGTAATCTTGTCGTTAGAAAAAAAATGTGTACTGGTGAAAATAAGGTGATTTACACTGAAAATATTTTATGCAGTTACGATTAATGTGTTTGTTCGTTTTTCAAAATCGTATGTGGCATTTAAAACATTTCCAGGGACAAAAACGAAAGGCAGATTATTAAGAACAGTTAAGAGTATAGCAAGACTGTAGAGTAGTGTTACCTTTTGTTTGTTAAAAGAAACTTATTTGATATATTCTATTTAGTAACCGGAAGGTGTCAGATCATCCATTTTAAATGCAACTGTTGTAACAGGTTTTTCTTTCCTGCCAAGCAAATCCAACTTTTTAAACTGAAACTCACATTCACAATATTTTCATTCGTGTTTAATGAAATGTTTCTTCTTTGTGTGATGGGAAACAAACATGTAACAGCATTTAAAGCTATATCTTGAGCATTTTTAGTTATGAAATTTCTCCAGATTTGTGTAACTTTTGGGAAAACTTTTCCCCTTCCGTGATTTTTGTTTTGTTTTATTAAAGAAACTATAGTTCATAATAGTCTGACTTAATCTGGTATGCAAGTTTAAATGTCATAAAAATCTTTACACTTTTGCTGTACCTGTTGCATTTGATCACAAGTTATTTGGAGAAGTGTGCTTTTACTTCATATGATTGCTTTCTAAATTTTACAAACTTGTCTGTTGATCATTTGGTTATTTTCCTAGTTTTCAAAAAATAACACCTTTTGTATGTTCAGCTTGCTTTCTCTAAATCAACTAACGGGTGGATTATGGATTATTGACTATGCTCTTATTAAACTGAGATCTAAGGAAATAGCTACTTGTAAAGCATAGGATAGATTATTTTCTATAAATACTAGCCCATGCTTGTCTGTCACTATCAAACAAATCTAACAGCTGGAATTTAAAACAAATGTATGTTATTTTGATGAAACTATGTTCCTAGGACTCTTGTGAACTTAATCTGTGTATTATTATAACATTGGATACTCCATCTAGGACCTTAAAAACATACACTTTATATAAGATCAGACACAAGTCCACTTCACATCTTATAAGCATTTGGGGGATAAGCATAATTGAGGTCAGTAGCAGAGCAAAAAGCGCCTAAGTATTTTTTTATCGTTGACACTCTAAGTCCAAAAATACATTTGGTGGGTTTACAGGAATTAAAAAATCTAACATGCACCATTTGACTCTGTCTCACACATGAAATTAACTGTATGAGTTAACTACATATTCCTCTTGAAACAGTTGTAGTTTCTAATTAATGTTCATTTACAAGGGGGGAGCGGGGGAATGGCACCTATTTTATCCCAGGTGTGAGTTTTTCCAACTGCAGCCTGTTTACTCTTTGGACAGCTGCACCTCCTCAGCCACTGACCTAACGGTAATAAAAAAATGTTTAGAACTTAACGTGATATCAAGGTAAAAAAAGGCATGAGAAGACCAGTTATCATTGCTGTATCCACAGGTTAAGTGTGAAAGCTGCGCAGGAAGAGGAAAGGCATTCCTGTACCTACCCCTCCTTCCTGTCGGTTGCTCTGTGACAAGCTGGAAGCCCCAACCCCACATTCGGGTGGGCACACAATAACTGCCGCGTTGCGTGGGCCTCATAGGGGCATTTTAACCCGTTCCTACTCCCTAGAACAGCTCTCCTGGACTCTAGTCTGTTCGAGGCGTGATAAAGTGGTAACCAGTTTTCTCGGGAGTCTTATTTTCGTTTGGGGAGGGGGAAAAATGATGCTCCAGGAGATGGGAGGTAGAGCTGCTTCCTTCCTTTTTCCTCTGTTTTATTCCCCCCAGAATGCAAGCGTGACTCGTGCAGCACACTGGGAAGATCCTTCGTCGGCCGCTGCTCACTCTGGAGGGCCTTGGCTAGAGGCTGCCTTCTCCCCCAGCTCCGCCCCGGGTCCCGACTGCGCGCAGAGCCGGGTGAACGTGAGCGCCCGGGGAAGCCTCAGCCGCTCCAAGCCCCGCCCCCTCCTCCGACGGCCCGACTAGCATGTGCCTGCCGATGCCCCTGCAGCTCTGTTCTGGGCTTCACGTGCGCGAGGGGTTCGCATGCACCCCTAATGTTCGATGTTCACGGGAAAGGCCAGCAGCCTTCGCACCGGCTCGGGGCGGGGCACAGCCGCGGCTAGCCAAGCGCGCAAAGCGCGCAAACGCAGCCCGGGGCGGGGCTCCCGCGCTCCACGAGGCAGCCGCGCCGAGGCCAAGTTGAGCAACCGGCGTCGAGAGAAACACCGCCCCAGACAGGAGAGTGGGCGGGGGCTGCTCCCTGCGCCCCGATTGGAGGAGCCGGCCAGCCTATCACCGACGGCTGCCTCGGCTGGATTCGTTTGCTGGTTTCCATTCATTGGCCCCCTAGCAGCCCCTGGATTTCCATCTTTTGTGGCGCGAAAATAACCCTTTGCTCCCTCTTGATGGTTTTATTGTTGAGGGGTGGGGTTCTTGCTCTCATTCCCCACCGCCCTTTAACTCCTTGTCCGCAGGTCTTAGACCAGAGGTGGAAGGAAGCCGGTAACCGCGCTGTGCTGCGTGCGGACCCGCCCCGGCCAGCCGCGTGGTGGCCGCAGACCCCTGCCCCGCCCTCGCGCAGGTCGCCGCGCTGCCTTGTTGGGTGGCTGGGATCATAGCTTCGTTCCCCTGCTTGCTTTCCAACATCTTAGAATTTATGCATCTTTTTCCCCTTAATTAAAAAAAAAAATACCAAAAATGTTTTTCCTGCACTTTCCTTGGCTTCTTTGAGAAATCCACTTTTCATGTCCCCTCCCTTCCCAGCCCCTTTTGTGGTCCCCAGAGTGGTTTTAAGCAAAGCCAAACAACCCTTGGGGGACGGGGCGGGGGGGGGGGGGAGCAAACGAAAAATTCAGGGTAAAACGCACTATTCCGCGACCACGTTTTCGTTGAAACTGAAGCCGACCTTGTAGGATTAGTGATTTATGTTGCTGAAATGTTATGATTTTACTGATGTTAGGTGGAGATGGTGAGAGAGAAAAATTAATTTGGCTTGGAAAAGCAAAAAACAAACGAAATAGTATTTAATTTTATTAACTAAAAAGGTAAACCGCTTCAGTGGCGTTTTCTAGGTATTGGTGGGTCTAACTGGATAAATCCGTTTTGGCTAGTTTTCTCAAGTATGTATTAGAGATAGGAAATTTCTTATCTTGGGGGGGAGGGAAGTGTAGATGTATTGGATGTATCTCTTTTCATAACAGACTTTCCCGTTCTTTGATTATCCGAAGAAAGGGAAGTGTACCAGTAAAGAAATACAACATAATTTGTCTACAGATAATTTACTTGTTCATACTGTTAAGTCCTGACAATGCTTGATTTAATTAAAAACCAACAAAATGATAATTTTTTTAA